GGGGGAGGGGGGAATTTCGTTTATTTTTAACCGGGAAGTGACTTGTGGAAATCCATGACATTCTAGCCAGCCTAGCAGGGCCGCAGCAAGCACGGTGGACAACAAATAGTTTGCAGAAGCAGAGAGGGTAGCTTAGCATGGCGTGGAGTAGGCAGACAAGGACGCCTGTCGGTGGTGAGGTTAGAGATAAACCTCTGAAATGGAGACAAAGGTACTGAACGATGGACGGGATGAAGACGAGGGGACTTCGCGACGACTCTAAGCATCTCTAGTCTGGAGAACAAAACAGCAATCGCTGACAGCAAACAAAACATGTCCCTGCTGTTACCATGCCTACGAAACTAATTCACGTTGACAATGGCTGTCATCCCAATCAAGTAACTGAACTGCATTTTAACAGATGCCTCCAATGCCTTGCCCTCAGCAGCGGGGGGGGAGGGGGGCGCAAGGAAACTGAAGGGGAGCATCTTTCATATAGCATCCCTCACACCAGTACAATGGAGGTGTTTGCTTACTCCGCTTACAATCACGGCCGCCGTTGCAAACTTCACCCTTAGAAAAATTAGGATTATTCCGGGAAAGATACCCATTCACCCTCTGGGTAGCAGGATCTTGCCAGTTCCTCAGCTGTCAGAGCGAGTTCGTGGAGAGAAGGGAGGCGCCTGAAGGAGGCGGCCTCCCAGGGGGGTCGAGGAAGCAGGGCTCAATCGAAGAAGTAAAACCACCGGTGCCAGAAGAGTGAAAGACAGGGAAGGGACTCGGCTGAGGGGAGAGAGAGACCAAAGGACCGTTAAGCCCCTCCCAGGCCAGCACGGCCCCGCGCGGCCTGGCGCGGCCCAGCCCCGCTCCCCAGCCTGGAAGTCAAGGAGTTCCCCCTCACCTGCTCGGGCTCATCGGACGACTGGGAAGCCGAGGCTCCCACAGTCGGAAACGCCACCGCAAAGCCAACCCGGAAGTATTGAAACCAACGGAAGTAACTAAGGCGTCGTCTCGGCAACGGTGGCGCAGTCGATGCAACTCCACCCCCTCCGAGCCTAAAAAAATGGCGCGAAATAAGAGACAGAAGGGGCAGGGGTCTAAGGACCGGCGAAGGGCAAGCTTCGGACTCGAAGGCCTGGGAGGGGTCAACCTGACTTTCGGGATTGTGTAAGGAGAAGGAGCCAGAGGTAGTTAACGTATTCGCCATTAGGGACCGACGTGTCGTCGTGATTGGCACTTGGACAGACTAGGAAAGGTGGAGCAGAGCAAGAAGGGCAAAGCCCAAAGGGCGTGAGGGGTGGGGCGAGAGAAGTGAGGGGCAGAGCGTTAAAGGCGGGGCTCGCGGGGCGCGAGGGGCGGGGCTGGCAGAGCAACCGGGGCGGGGCGCGAGGTGCGGGGCGCGAGGGGAGGGGCGCGAGGGGCGGGGCGCGAGGGGCGGGGCTGGCAGAGCAACTGGGCAGGAGGGGCGCGCAGAGTACAGAGTAAAAGAGGGAAGGTGAAACGATTTAAAACAAAAAGGGGGGTCGGTGCCGTGCTCTCCCCCCTCTTGTTATCTCCCCGGGGGGGGGGGGGGGGTTTCCAAAGGGGGGCCGGATTTTTTTCCCCGGGTTTTTTTTTTTTCCCATTCCTCTTTTCGGTGGGGCCCCCGGAGGAGGGCCCCTGGTTGTTTTGAGCCCCCCCCCCCTGGGTCCCCCGCCTTTGGAAAGGAGGAGAAGCCCCCTCGTTGGGGGCCCTTTTGGGGGGTGTAACCAATAGGGGAGCCTTTTTTTTTTTCTCTTCCCCTATCTAACTCTGTCAAAAAAAAAAAAAAGGAGGAAAATGAAGGATAGGGGGGTGCTGGAATATAGTGAAGTGCCTGAGCTCAGAAAGAAAATAAAAATCATAGCCGGCGCCGCGGTGCGCTGGCCGCAGCGCGCCAGCCATGGCGGCCATTGGAGGGTGAACCAACGGCAAAGGAAGACCTTTCTCTCTGTCTCTCTCTCTCACTGTCCACTCTGCCTGTCAAAAAAAAAAAAAATTCTCCTAAGAATTCCTTTCATTCTTAAAAAAAAAAAAAAAGAAAGAAAGAAAAATCAAAGAAAGCCCAGAGCCTGTATTGGATAGCAGACATTAGTAACTGAAAAATTGCAGGCCCAAGATCAAAGTTCCCAGTTTAGTCAGCAACTGAATTTGGATAAGAGCTAGGTGGAAACAAACAAGGGAATCATAAGAAGTTAAAAAGACAGACTACAAAGAGGAGAAATGCTAACAGGGGAGTCCCCTTTAACCGGCCCCTCACAACTTGCCAGCAAATGAAGAAAGCCAGACAACTGGCTTTTTTTTTTTTTTTTTTGACAGGCAGATTGGACAGTGAGAGAGAGAGAGAGAGAAACGTCTTCCTTTTCCATTGGTTCACCCCCCACGCACCGGGTGCGGACCGAAGCCAGGAGCCAGGTACTTATCCTGGTCTCCCATGGGGTGCAGGGACCAAGCACTTGGGCCATCCTCCACTGCCTTCCCGGGCCACAGCAGAGAGCTGGCCTGGAAGAGGAGCAACCAGGACAGAATCCGGCGCCCCGACCAGGACTAGAACCCAGGGTGCCGGTGCCGCAGGTGGAGGATTAGCCTAGTGAGCCGTGGCACCGGCCTAGACAACTGGCTTCTAGTTATAGCTCCTGAGGCCTCTGGAAAGGATAACCCTGCATGATTCCCTTAGCCAATGAACTACCTCTGATTGGTAGGCCTCTCGCGAAGGTTTGTTAATCATGTGGTAGTACGCGATTATAGTTAGGATTCTTTGTCCGTATTTAATAAGTAAAATGCAGGGAGTGCAAGGCACTTGGCCCTAAAATGATTACTCGTTGAATGAATAAATATTTGTTACTCTTTTGTTCCAGAAGGATTGTTTGCATTTTGGTTCACAATTTGTTTTTGTGTTTTTTTTTTTCATTTAAAAATTTTGTCAGGCATACAAATAGTGTTCGATGGTTTTGTAGAAAACATCATGTACCAACAAGGGTACAAAGAGATCCAACTACCATATAAGACATACTATTATTTTTCCCTTTTTTAAAAAATTTATTTATTAATTTGAAAGAGTTACAGAGAGGCAGAGAGAAAGAGATCTTCCATCTGCTGGTTCACTCCCCCAGATGGCCGCAACAGCTGGAGCTGCGCTGATCCGAACCCAGGAGCTTCTTCTGAGTCTTCCACGTGGGTGCAGGGACCCAAGGGTTTGGGCCATCTTCTACTGCTTTCCCAGGCCATAGCAGAGAGCTGGATCAGAAGAGGAGCAGCCAGAACTAGAACCGGCACCCATGTGGGATGCCGGCACTGCAGGCTGCAGCTTTACCCACTGTGCCTTGCCAGCCCCTATTTTTCCCTTTTGACATTTGAAAATACTGAGGCTATAAAAGGTTAAGAGAGTAATTTGATAAGTGGCACAGCTGGGACTTAGGTTCCAGTCAGACTTGAGAGCCCAGGCTTTTTACAATGCTGTCCTGCTCTCAACTTTAATACCCTTGTTAACTTCAAAAACTTGCTTACTTCAATACAGATAATATGAGAAACATCTGCATGCATTTCAAAATTGGAATTCCCTTCCATTTAGATCTCAGCAGAACACTTGCTTTCAGCCAGTTTTTTGGGGGGCGTGGGGGTTGTAGCTAAGTGTCATTCTCACTTGAAAGGACTATGCTCTCTCCAACTGAATCGTATGTCTCGCTGTGGCCTGAGCTTATCACTCCCCTTACATTCAGGTCACTAAACCTTGTGGAATTATGGCTCTCTCCATGAACAAACCAGTCTTAGCTTTTCTACAAGACTATTTTTGCTATCTCAACCACTACCACACACCAGCTAATCACACTTACCATCCACATAAACTTTGTTATGAGGAGTTTTGCGAGACAGGAATTTGGTATAGTGGTTAAGATGTTGCTTGGAACACCTGTATCCCTTATTGGAGTCCCTAGGTTTGAGTCCCAGCTCCGCTTCTGATCCAGTGAGAATACTCAATTACTTAGGTGCCTGCTACCCACGTATAAGAGACCCAGAATGAGCTGGAAGCATTTGGGGAATGGACCTGCCCATGGAAGATGTCTCTCTGTGTGTGTGTGTGTGTGTGTGCCTTTCAAATAAAATTTTTAAAGATATATTTATTTGAAAGTCAGAGTTACATAGAGAGAAGGAGAGGCAGAGAGAGAGAGAGAGAGAGAGGTCTTCCATCTGCTGCTTCACTCCCCAGTTGGCTGAAATGGCCGGAGCTGTGCCAATCCGAAGCCAGGAGCCAGGAGCTTCTTCTGGGTCTCCCACGCAGGTGCAGGGGCCCAAGGACTTGGGCCATCTTTCACTGCTTTCCCAGGCCATAGCAGAGAGCTGGATCGGAAGAGGAGCAGCAGGGATTCAAACCGGCACCCATATGGGATGCCGGCACTGCAGGCAGCAGCTTTACCCGCTATGCCACAGTGCCAGCCCCTCAAATAAATTTTTTAAAAGGAGCTTTTTTATATGACTTTTTTTTTAAAGATTTATTTATTTATTTTGAAAGAGCTACAGAGAAAAAGAAGAGACACACAGAGAGATCTTTAATTTGCTTGTTCACTCCCCAAATGGCCGAAATGGCCAGAACTGGACTGATTCGAAGCCAGGAGTTTCTTCTGGGTCTCCCAGGTGGGTGCAGGGCCCAAACACTTGGGCCATCTTCTGCTGCTTTCCCAGGTGCATTAGCAGGGAGCTGGATCAGAAGTGGAGCTGCTGGGACTTGAACCGGTGTCTATATGGGATGCTGGCATTGCAGGCAGTGGCTTTATCCACTGCATTGCAGTGCTAGCCCCTAAAAGTTTACAATTTTAATATGAATGATTCAGCGGGGACTGGCACTGTGGTATAGTGGGTAAAGCCACCACCTGCAGTGCTGGCATCCCATATGGGCGCCAGTTCGAGTCCCAGTTGTTGCACTTCCAATCCAGCTCTCTGCTATGGCCTCAGAAAGCAGTAGAATATGGCCCAAGTGCTTGGGCCCCTGCACCCACGTGGGAGACCCAGAAGCTCCTGGCTTCTGGCTTTGGATCGGCACAGCTCTGACCTTTGCAGCCTTCTGGGGAGTGAACCAGCGGATGGAAGACCTCTCTCTCTCTCTCTCTCTCTCTCTATCTCTATCTCTATCTCTATCTCTATCTCTATCTCTATCTCTCCCTGCCTCTCTGTAACTCTGCCTTTCAAATAAGTAAATAAATCTTTTTTTAAAAAATGAACGATTCAGTGGCATTTAACACCTCAACGTCATTGTACAACTATTTTCATCACCCAACATTCTCTTTTTTTTTTTAAAAGATCATTTATTTATTTGAGAGATAGAGGTACAGAAAGAGGGAGAGACAGATAGAAAGGTCTTCCAGCCTCTGGTTCACGCAGCAAATGGCCACAATGGCCGGAGCTGGGCCAAGCCAAGGCCAGGAGATAGGAGCTTTTTCCAGGTCTTCCAGGTGGATGCAGGGGCCCAAAGACTTGGGCCTTCTTCCACTGCTTTCCCAGGCCATAAGCAGAGAGCTGGATCGGAAGAGGAGCAGCTGTGACTTCAGCCAACCTCCATATGGAATGCTGGCTTTGCAGGTAGTAGCTTTACCTGCTACACCACAACACCAGCCCCTAAAAGTTTGTGATTTTTACATGAACAATTCAGTGGCATTTAACACCTTGACAATGTTGTACAACCACTTTCATCACCCAACATTTTCATACTCCATACCCACGAAGCGATTGCTCCCCATTTCTCCAGCCCCAGTGCCCCTGGAAACCACCAGTCTGCTTTCCATCTCTATGGATTTATCTATTCTGAAAATCTCATATAAATGGAATTATACACTACATGACCTTATGTGTCTGGCTTCTTTCCCTTAGCACAATTTTGAGGTCCATCCAAGTAACGAATCCCTTTGTATGGCTAACTAACCTCCCAGTGTATGTTTTCACCATGATTTCTTTATCCGTTCATCCATTGATGAACATTCGGGCTGTTATGAATAGTGCTGCTACAAATATGGGTGTACTAGTATGTTTGAGTAACAGTGTTGAATTCTTTTAGGTATTTATACTTAAGAGTGGGTTTGCCAGAAGACCTTTTGAAGACAAATTCCATCACTTTCTAGCCTTGTGACTTTGAATTTCACAATACTTCTGAGCCAGACAGTCTAATACTCTTAGCCCAGAGTTGGGAACTTAGCAGCACATGCTTAGCAAATTAGCAAATGATAGTTGACTTCCTTTCTGCTTCCTCTCCTTAATAGCACTCCTATATATCCT